CAAGGGACTGATCCTGCAGGCACAGAAATGGACCATCCCAGTACACATCAAGGCGGGGCAAAAGAGCAAAGAAACCCTCTTGGTTCAGCAGGGAAATCAAGGAGAGCTTGGAGGGGAAAAGAGAAGCCTACAGGCTGTGGAGGCAGGGGGCAGCCACCAAGGAGGATTATACCTGCTTGGCTCGAGCTTGCAGGGAAGCAGTGAGGAGAGCCAAAGTGGAAATGGAGCTTAGACTGGCAGCAAAAATTAAAGATAACAAAAAGTCATTCTTTAAATACACAGGAAGCAAAAAGAAAGTGCAGGACAACATAGGGCCCCTTCAAGATGAACTAGGGCAACTGGTAACAGATAGGATAGCCGAAGTCCAGCTCCTACATGATTTCTTTGCATCTGTGTTCCTAGACATGGATACAAGCATGCATCCCAATGGGACTTTAGGTAAGCACACGATAGATACCAAACCACAAAGAAGCCAACCTAGTAAAGGGGCCCTTGGAGGGGTTGGATGTATTTAAGTCAAGATGATGATGATCTTCATCCTAGGGAACTTAGGGAATTAGCTGGAGTCATATCAGAACCAGCGGCACAACTGTTTGCACACTCACGGCACTCAGGACAGGTCCCAGATGAACCCTGGAAAAGAGCCGATGTGGTCCCTATTTTCAAGAAGAGGAGGAAGGAGGAACCAGGTAACTATAGGCCGGTTAGCCTCACCTCTATCCATGGCAAGACCTTTGAGAAAATTGTTAAGGATCAAATTTGTGGGGGACCAGCAGGTAAAACAATGCTAAGGGGCAACCAGCGAGGGGTCATAGCAGGCAGAACTTGCCTGACTAACCTGGTTTCTTTTTACGACAGGGTCACAAAATGCTTGGATGAAGGAATAGAGGTAGATGTTATTTACTTAGATTTCTTACCCAATTCTTATAAATAAACTAAACAGTTACAATATAGATTATTACCCAGTCCAGTGGGTGGAAAATTGGCTTATGGGATGCACCCAGGGAGTGGTGGTGGATGGGCCAGTTTCTACCTGGAGAAATGTGGGCAGCAGAGTCCCCCAAGGCTCTATCCTGGGACTGGGACTGTTCAATATCTTCATTAGTGATTTGGTTGAGGGAGTAGAAAGCACTCTGTCCAAGTTTGCGGATGACACCAAACTATGTGGGGAGGTAAACAAACTAGAGGGGAGGGAGTGAATCCAGGTGGATCTGGACATGCTGGGGAAGTAGGCGAAACAGAGCAGGATGCAGTTTAACAAAGATAAGTGCCAGGTGTTGCACCTAGGGAGGAAGAATCATCAACACTCTTATAGCACCATTCCAAGTAGCACAACTGCGGAAAGGGATCTCAGAGTCGTAATTGACTCCAAGATGAACATGAGTCGCCAATGCGATGAAGTAACAAGTAAAGCTAACCGTATTCTTTCTTGCAGAAGTAGGTGCATCACAAACAGGTCTATGGAGGTGTTACTTCACCTCTATGCGGCATTGGTTAGGCCACAGCTGGAGTATTGTGTCCAGTTTTGGGCACCGCACTTCAAGAGGGATGTAGATAACCTGGAAAGGGTTCAGAGGAGGGCCACCCATCTGGTTAAAGGCCTACAGGAAAAACTCTACGAGGACTGATTGAGAGACCTGAATCTCTTCAGCCTCTGCAAGAGAAGGCTGAGAGGTGATCTTGTGGCTGTCTACAAACTCATCGGGGGGGGGGGAGAAACAGTAGGAAATATAGGATACAATGTTTACCAGGGCCCCCATCGGGGTAACTAGAAACAATGGCCATAAACTGGATGAGAGCAAATTTAGATTGGACATCAGGAAAAAAATTCTCACTGTGAGGGTTGCTAAAATACAGAATATGCTTCCAAGGGAGGTGGTGCTGTCCCCTTCCTTGGAGGTATTCAAGAGAAGATTGGACAAACACCTGGCTGGGGTCATTTGAACCCAGCACTCTTTCCTGCCCAGGGCAAGGGGTTGGACTCGATGATCTAATAGGTCCCTTCCCACCCTAAAATCTATGAAATCTATGAACTATGAAATAGATGCTCAGCCCTCTTCAGGGTCAGGTCTTTATTCTGCATAGCTGCCTTTATTTGGCCTGAATAGTTCCAATTTTCTTTTCGGGTAATAAATAATCAGAATGGCTAGGGACAGAAATTACACATAAACCAGTGTAAGTGATCAGAAACCAGTTCAAATCTGTAACACAACAGAAGTTCAGTGCACATAAACTGCTTTCAAAATGACCAAAACCAGTTTAAGATAAACTTGGATGTAGTATCAGACTTAACTGATTTAGGTTATGTTGGTTTATTGAACTCTGTCCCAGATCCCCTCCAGATTCAAGTTAACTCCCAATGCTCCAGCATCCCAGGATGACTTGCACTTCCCCTGCAAACCTCCCTTCACAGGGTGGGTGGGCTATCCTTGGCTCAAACTGTCTGCTCGAGGCCCAGCTTCTGGCCTGGGCCACTGCATTTGCAGAATCAAAAGTGAATGTCTGTTCACTTGTTTATTGGTTCAATCTATGCAGCTTAGACTAACCTGAGAAGATTGAACTGATTCAGCCTTGGGTTTTTTGACTGCCTGTACTTAGCCTAAGAGAAAAATGTGATGTGCATTGCCTTGGGTGTTCTGTAAGCAGTTTACCAGTATTTTGCCTTGAGTGACCTGCCCAATAATGGAGCTAGGCCAGAATAACCCAGTGCACAGAAGGAGATAGCTTATATGACCACGTACATGTCCATGTAGGTGTAGATGGAGGAAGACAGGGATTGCAATCGCAGGTGAAGGAAATGAAAAGGGTTCCAAGAACTCTAAATCCAGCTGAGCTCTGCTTGGTGCAGAAATCTATTGTTAAGAGAGGGAGGAACCAAAACTGTTTGGATCTTATTAGGGCTTCCTGGATTCTTATGGATTCCTGGACTGGTTTCAATCCTGATACAGATAGCCTGTGCACCATCTGAGAATTAAAGCAGGTTGTAAATACCATGTACACTGCTAGAGTTGTGTGCTTCTGTGTTTGTTAAAATCAGGCTCTAAAAGTTTAGTGATTGCTCTTAAAGTCAGAAGTTGCAATTGGTAATGGGAGACTGACACAGATAAATGTTCAGATAGCATCATCATATGGCAATTAATAGTGAATGCATCTAAATGGCAGACAAGGAGAAACCTGAAATTTCACAGGTGAGGATGTTCAGGGTGATCACCAACTAGTTTTTGCAAACTGAAGGGTTTGAAAAAAAATTGATTCAGACTGCTGGTGCTTCCCCAAAGCAAACTGATCCTTGTGCAACCTCTTGAAATTCAGTCACCCATGGTACAGTACAGTCGTTCCTTTTGAGTCAACAGGTTCTCCCAGTTCTATGTCTCTTTTGGTAAGTCAGGAGTATTTAATTAATAAAAGCAGCTTTGTAAATCTGTTTCAGTACAGACGTTTTGAAAATTAGGAAAGTCTCTGGCTTATTAGGAAATTGCATGGAAAGGGATCCTAAGACAGTCAAGTATTAAGCAGGAAACTGGGTATAAACCTAAAAGAGGGTGAAAAATGCAGCCAGGACTCCATGAACTAAAGATACACTTCCTAAGCCACTGAAATACATAAATACATACATATTTTTGCACATGAACTTCAGAGGGGCTACTAATGTGCCCATTTATTCATGGATTTAAATACCTTTTGAATCAGGGCCATATTTTGTATATGGGGCTTCGCTTATAGCTGAATAAAAGGGAGATCTTTATGGGACTGGATTTTGGAAGCTATGAGGTTCCTGAGCCATCACAGCTGTGTTCCACATATTTGCCAGATGCCTGGCAGCAGTGCTGCCATCATTTCTTCCCAGCTTACCTATGTCCCTCTCATGTCCCCCCTGCCCCCGCAATCTCATCCCTGTTTTATTCACTGTTAAAATAAACAGTGCCTTGCTGCTCAGCTTCTCCGCAAAGGTCAAACAAATCTGGGTTTCTGCTCTGAGAATTGCTAAGTGCTCCATAAATACATTGCTGGATAGGTTGGAGAGGGACTTGAGTTCATACAAAAGTTCAGCAGGAGGTAACCTTATAGTTAGCCCTTGTTACAATCATTATGCCTCAGCTCTTCAAATTGCTGCTCTCTCCAGACTCTTGGGTATAATAATACTTAAAGGCACTGCTGCTGGGATCAGCCATCTACTTCCTCTTCATAGCTGAGACTTGTAAGGACCACAGATGTTCCTGATGCTTCTTTTGCTTAAACTAGTGTAAATAATGCTTCAGTCCCCAGAAGCCAATGGATAATACTGCTATGAAAATAGCGTAAGAGAAAAGAAGACTGATATTCAGACTCTCTTGAGACTTAACTATTCACATTCTATTATTACCTGTGGTATTACATCGGCATGATAACCCAGCTAAGTTACTTCTGATTAATAGTCCAATAAGTACTGCAGTAGAATAATATTTCAACCACTTATTTAAGTACAAGGGCAATTCTAGCTGTTATCAACTTGTACCAGTCTGACAGATCATTTTGTAGAGAAACCACTTTAAAAGAAAAAGACAGGCTTTGTAGCCCCCCTGTATAAACCACACCTATGTTTCAACTGTTGATTCTAATCAGCTGAAGATCTAGCCAAAGTTAAACAGCAAATGACTTTCTTTCCTGGATTGCAACATTGGAACAGATTCTATCAGGTGCATCCACTTAGATGAGGAGATTTTATGCAGCACAGCATCCATGTTATCACCCAAAAAGGACACACAATTTTTAACAGTAAAATTACCTGTTAGGTGTGCTCTTGGCTTTTCGTCAGTGAATACTGTATCTGTAATAAAAATAATAAAAGATAATGATTTTTCTCCCAAGTTTAATGGATTTGATTAAAGACAGAGGCTTTTTATTTCTGTGTGGGTTTGTTTTTACAAGTTATTTGCTTAGCCTTTTTGTTGACAGAAGGTAGGAGTTGAGTTTCAGACAGAGCTGATAAAAACAGAGCTCTTCTGGACTTCATTTGTGCTGCAGTGCTGTACTTGAAGATTTTTGCAGATTGACCAGATCAAATCACCAATTCTGACTAGAACACATTGAAAAGAAAAGGCCTTTCTCTTGAATTAGAATATCAAAGTGTTAAAGGTACTTTAACTCCATGCTGTGTCCATATTAACATAGTTGGATCTGTCTTACCAAGCTACAGGGTGAGCTTAGCCCTATGCCGGCTGAAAAAAGGAGACAGGCTGCCTATCCACTTGTGGCAGGGCACGGTTGGTGCCTGCCACTTTAAGATTGGAGCTAAGCAGCCAGCAGGTGCTTGATTGTGGTGGCCATGTTAGATCTCTGGCCACGTATATAAACAGGGCAGTTTGCAGCTGGTAGGCCAGGCAGTAACATTACCTGGTTGCAGGGCTCCATGCAACATCCTGGAGGTAAGGGTAGGAGCTGTAGGGGATGGCTTGGAGGCTACTGGTCCTGGGTATGACCAAAAACTGCACCCTGCTGGGAGTGGGTGGCCTGGTGGGGCTCTCAGTGGTGCAGGAGCCCCCAGGAAATGCCAGGCCAGTTACCACACTGGTGAAAGGTGGGTAGGGGCACCTTAACCCTAGCCCTCACCTTTGGGTGGGTTATGTAACATTGGAGGTAGTGGGCCAGGCATAGCTGTGGCCACCTGAGCCCTGTGTGGTGTAGGACCCTGAGGAAAGGTAGTTGGGGCCAGGCATGGCTATGGCCCCATGAGCCCACCAGGGAGGGAAGTCCTGTGGCCCCAGTGAGGGGATGGTGTGAAGCCCCAGTGAGGGGGGGCAGAGATGAGGAGCTCCAGTGAAGGAAGTAGGCCAAGGTATGTCTCCAGATGCCTGAGGCTGTAATTTGGGCCAGAGGCCAAGCAAAGGGCGCTCAGTCAGAGGGGCAAGTCCTGACCCCAGTAAGTCTTCCACCACTGGGAGGCTGCATGTGGGTCAAATGTAAGAGCTATAGCAGAGCACAATGACCTGCTGCTCTGGAGGGGAGTGAGAGTCCCCACAAGACCCTGGAGCACTAGTTGTGGTGTGGGTTAAGAATGAATGGAGGCCGGGCACAGCTGCGGACACCTGAGCCCCACAGGGGAGGGAAGCCCTGGAGGCCCAGTGAGGGGGTGGAAATGAGGACCACGGTGAAGGGCAGAGATGTGGAGCCCCAGTGAGGGGGGCAATATAAGATGTAGCAACCTGGTGAGGGGGTGGCCCTAGTGAGGGGGTGGTGTGGAGCCCTGGTGAGGGGTGGAGATGAGGGGCCCCAGTGGGGGGGAGGAAAACCAGAGAGCTGGGAGCTCAGTATGTCTGAGTGTACAGAGTTGCCCCAGAAGGGGCCAGGGCAAGCTTAGACCCAGTTGGGTAATTGGCTGGCCACTACCCCGGTGAAGGTCGCGGGAGAGGCCCAAAAGACGGTACGTCTGCCACCCAAAGTATGAGCTAGCTAAAGCCTATGGCCTAAGGAGCCCGCCCCAAGAGGGAGCAAGGCAGTACAAGTTGTCAATGTGTGAAAGAGACCCTGTGAGAGGGTGGAGTGTGAGAGGACCTAATGCGAGGAGGGTGGTATGAATGTGAGTGTCTGAGGCCTGACAATGAGGCCTAAGCTTGGTCTGGCTGCAGGTCAGCAGCTTTATCATCTGAATGCTATCTGTGAGGCTTGGGCTGCAGAGGTGCAGCTAGTGCTCCCTGGCATCAGGGCAAGAATGGGCAGCCTCCTGCCTTAATCAACAACAAGGTGTGGCAGGTGAGTCAGGTGGGTGGCATGCCCAAAGGCAAATGGGTAAACTAGCACTGTGGCTAGCTGGGGAGTCCCACTTTGCCACACCACTATTTAGGAATTGCAGGCTTGCTCTAGCTTTTTTTCCCTCTATATCCTCTATCCACCTGCTGCTGCCACCATCTAGCCTTTGCTTTGCTGATGCCTGTCACACCTTCACCTACTCCTTTCCTTTCTCACCTTGCATCCCAACAAGATAACCCCCTCCTTCTACCACAGCACTTGCCCATCGCCTGTCCTGACAGCGCCTGCACTGGGGCCAAGGCAGCCTTGATCAAGAGATAACATAGGCCTGGTATATGCACCCCCTGTGTAAAAATTGCTGCCAGAAGAAGTGTAAGTGAATCCTTTGGAGGTTTTAGTGGCTTTAAGTACTGGAAGAAAAGGGAAGGGAATCTAATCTACAAAACTAGGAAAGTGCATTTTGGTAGAACTTGTGGAAGCAGCTCCCATTCTCAGCAGACACCCAAGTAAACACAAGCTTCTACAAAAGGAAAGAACTGGCGGAACTTACAAGTAGTTGCTGCCTGTTGCTTTAAGGCATTTGGCGCTCTTTCTTCTGCCACCTATGAAAAACATTCACAAGTAGTTAGCTTCCACTTGAATGAGGCAACAACATTATGGAGAATCATGATGCTCCTATAGATGACTTAATTAAGAAGTTCAAACAAAAATTCTAGGAAGTGCTTCAACAGAGAGAATACCTGACAATAACAGTTTGTGTTTAAATAGACACCTTCACAGATCAACCCCTAAGTAATGCGGGCTGTTCATTTAAGGATCCTTTTCTCTCTCTCTCTCCTTGTTGGTTTGCAGGTGCCTGTAATCATGCAGTATGGAGGACAGAACTATGGGGAAGGTCTGGGCCTAATCCTCAGCTCTTCCCAGACATAATGCTGTTTTACACCAGCTGAAAAATCTGCTTCTAATTCATCCTTTCCTTCTGTACTTGTCTACTCTTTATTGCTGGAACCTGTACTTGAATCACTTCCTACTCTCATGCACTTGGGACCAAGTTTGTATAAAAAGCAGATAAAGGTTGTTCATTCTCTCTCTTCCCCCCCCCCCTTCCCCCTCCCACGTACTTTGTAAATCTTCATCTAAAGCTGAACGCCAGTCTACTTGTGACATGCATTCAGTGTAAACAAAGATGAAACCTATTGCAGCATTATATTGACCTGGTCAGTGCCAAATATGCATGTTTTTTATGTAAAGTAACAGTGGAGAAAGTAGCTGCTTGCCAACTAGATGGCTGCCAATGGCTCTATTTGGCTGATTCAAAGTAGTTCAGCCAAAACGAATGACTTATTTTTGGTCACATTCCTAGCTGGTGTAAGTCCGCATGGCTTCTTAGCCAGTGATGCTACTGATTTACATGGATCTGGCACAAAGCATGTATGAAGGAGCTGGAAAGCAGCACATCAAGGCGTACAGTTCAGGCAAAGTTTTATACACTGAGACAGGCATTACTTGTTGCTGGTCTGTGGAGAGCTAGCTGGTCCTATGGTGCTAAATCAGCTTGTTTCCATCTGCTACACTTGATCAATGCATTAGACAGACATACCTCTAAAATTTATTAGTATAATTAGTGACTGTCGGTGTTTTAGTGATGGCAAATGGCTTGCCTGTACCACAACAATTGGGAGAGTATTGTATCTGCTCGAAGCATGCTTACAGTGTAGGCCAAAGCACTTCTTGTGGACCAGATCCTCAGCAAGTGAAAGATTTCATTGTAAATTGCTTTCAGTTGACTTCTGCCACCTAACCACAGTTGAAGATTTGCTACCTAAATATGATCACAGTTTCACTATTAGTGACGATTAACATGTGAGTGAAATATTGGCCCTTAAGTGTTTCATATATTCAGTGGCTGCTGTTTATGGGGGAAGAGGACTCACTATACATCTGCAAGGCCAAGAGGAGAACTGTGGAGCAAATCTAACTATCAGCTGAAACTCATGCCCAGTTTCATGGTGGTGGGTGACTCATAGTACATTACTCAAAGTTATGCCACTTATGAAACTGTTTCCCAACATTTAAATTAATTAAACAATCAACGAAGGAAAAGATGTTGTCAGTAGATGCCATCCTCTTCCTTATGTGCATACACTTACACATCACTGTCACGACCTTTAGCAGAACAATGTCATCTAAGATGCAACTAAAGACTAGGTAGTGCACAATCTATAAGACAGGGCAGAGTTATTTCATACACAGGGCCTCAGGCCTGATGTCTGACCTCTGCTCATTATTGAATAGAATAATGCAGGACTGATGGGGACCTCAAGAGATGATTCACTCAGTTTCCTTACTGATTAGACATCACTGGAACAGTCCCAACAAATATTTCTCTAACCTGTTCCTAACAGACAGCACGGAAGGAGATTCTGCAACATTCCTATGCAGCATGTTTCCGTGTTTCACCACCCTAGGAGTTGGCCAAATTAACTCTTCTTATTTGCAAGTTGATTCACTTTTCTTCTTGTCCTTCCTGCAGTGGCCATGAAGATCAATTCATCTGGTTATAATTACTTAGAAAACTGTTATTTTGCCCCTTATGTCTTCTCTTTTCTAGACTAAACAAAATCAGTGCTTTCATCTTGCCGCTGAGGTTATGTCTTGTACATTTTTATCAAGTGCAAACTTTTTATGTGCGAGGTTTTTTTTCCCCCCAAATTCTCATGAGAATTGTTGGGATGTTTGAATATGACTCTCTATTCTTATGATGCAATGTCCAAGAGTCATGGTCAGCTGAACGTGTCATTTTTCCTAAAGGGGAAACCCAAGATCATAGTGGAGGAGTTCTTAGTTCACAGTTCTCCCCCAAACCATACTGTATTTGTATATTTTATAGCGTTACTAGATTAGAACCTAGTTCAGCAAAGTATTTCAGCCTAACTTTCCATGAAAATATTTATTTAGTCAAACTTGATTTTTTTCCAACAAAAAAAATTTTTGATGCAGATTTTTTTCTACAGCCCTAAATTTTATCTTGTAATCAGAGTGATCTTGAATGGAAACTTTATGTCCAGCACCTCCAAGCTTTAAAAAGAAGAACTGGACCTTAACTTGGTAAACTGACTTAGTTTTAAATATAGAAGGAAAAGAAGTGTGGACTACTGGGTAGACCATTAGATGAACTGGGTCCTATTCCCAGTGCTGTTGCTGATCTGTCAAGTGGCGACCTTAGGCAGTGTCTTGTCTGTGCCTCAGTTTCACTGTCTATAAACTGGGATAATAAGAAGGGCCTCCTTTGTGAGGAGGTTTGAGATCTATGGATGAAAAATATTATGTGAGACTTGTATTTAATTATGGAAAGCTAGGTTAATATGTGAGAGGTAATAGTAATACTAAATGCATGTGTTGTGTATATACCTCAAAGTATATACACCCTTTGACCTGAAAGAAGCTGTTGAAAATGTAAGTTGGGTTATTATACAATATGGAGGGTTTATTTATACAACTCATGATGTACCTATAAACGTTAAGTATGTTTTAAAGGGCTAATTTGTGTGTAATTATTGGGTACTTGTTCTATTCCCCTTCCTCGATCAGGTGCAATTTAAAAAAATTCTCAGCTTTGACTTCTGTTTGTTTCCACTGAAGTCACTAGAAAAACTCCCACTGGTTACAATGGGAAGAGAGAAGCAGACATTGAGTGCTTTTGAAAATCCCACCATAGATCTGATTTGAAGACGACAGTCTCCTGAAACAGAGACTTTAAATACTGTGAAGCCTGTGGTATGCAAAAAGATGCTACTGTCTCAATTCCAAGACTGGCCAAAAGTCCCTAGGACATTTATTTACATTTAACACTAAAAGGAAATAGGCAAAGATTCCCCCACCTACATGCTTTTCCTTATTGTGCCTTTTGAAAGGGGGCGTGGGTGTCCATCTGACAGAAGTCAAATGTAGAAAAGTTAAATGAAACTCTGGGGTCATAAGTGTCACAAACAAAGCTGTTCAGATGATATCCTTTGGTTTAACTTTTTGTTTAACTTTCAGTGCACTTTAGTTTGGCCTTTCTCTCAAGGGCCCTCTCTAACTTCTTGGAAAGTCAATAGAAAGATTCACCCTAACTTTCATGAAAACTGGTTCAAGAGGAAAAGCAATCCATGCTACTTGCATAAAGCATGTGCAATAGAGCAGTGCTGTAAAACATTTAGGGCTTGGGAGGAGATTATCATGGACTTGGGAGAATGATGAAGGACTTCAACTCAACCCTCCTACAACCATTCTTCCATCCTGTGAACTGTGCCACTTACATAACAGTTTGTGGCTCTGCACAAATGGGATTGGTTAGTCTTCATGCTGGCCAGCGCAGGCCTGGAATGGACCCATTTTACAGTGGATAGGACTTAGAAAGCCCAACTATATGCTGTAGCCTGCTCTAGTAGCACCAAAATGAGTGGTGGGAAAATGCATCCCTTTATGCAACCTGTTTGGTTCAGTTTCCATCTATAGACTTATTATTATCTTGCAGCTGCAGAATGCCCCTGACTTAACCCAACCAACATCCCACTGACAGCAGTGGGAATTAAATGCAAACACCATCAATTAATACTTAGCGCTTTGTTTTTAAGTGGGTAACTAAGGAAATTGATAGGCAGCAGCAGATACATTCTTGGCTGTTGTGTCAGTCTGGCAGCCACATGACTGAACTCAAACTGTACAAAGTTAACAAATGGAATTGAGATGCAGAAATAAAAATGTTGGACTTTCAATATTTCTAGTCTTCCCTAATGCTCCCTAGTTACAGTTGTTGCAGATCATTGTTTAAAACTCCAAGAAGTGGGTCAATTACCCGGACATTCCCATTTTTCCCCATCTGTATTTGATTGAAGCTTCCCAGGGAATCCACCCTGGAGCATGATTCCAGCAACTTATTCCTGAAGCAGATGCAACAGGAGGGGAAAACTCAATGTTTGTATACATGGCCTCAATATTCCCTTCCCTGTCTGACTGGGGAATTTCTAAAGGGAGGAGAATGTGGGAATCTGTATCTGTTCAGGGCTATTTAGATATCCGTGTGCAGGGAGTGGCATGTACACCTCACCATCCTAGCAATAAATGTCAAGAGAGACATCTCTGCAGCACAAAGCCTGTACTGCTTCCCACTTTCTGTAGGAAAATACGCAACAGGAATTTACTAATAATCTATGGCAGCAATAAATTATGACATTCCCCTCCCTATCCCCTGTGCCAGAACACTGTAAGGCAGAAAGAAAGTCCCTTTCATTAACCTTTTCGCTTGTCCCTTTCTGCTTCCGGGTCATCAGCTAGGCATACTGTTTCTCCTGTTTGTCCACCTGCTCTCATGCTTCCTGTGTAGCCCGGTGGAGGTGCCATTTTTCTCCTTTTCTCTGCTGAGACTTCCAGTTATAATAGAGCAGGGGGAGGCAACCCTTAGTATGGGTGCTAGAGCACCACATACAAAGGCATTTGTCTGAAGGTGGACAGCGGGGAAGGGGCCGGGGCTGCGCTGCTACAACAAGGATTAGGCCCCTCGTGGCTCCCTGCCATCTGCCCTTGGTGCGCCAACATCTTACAAGTTGAGGTTGTGGGTGTTTTGGTACTCTGCCCAAAAATGTTGCTGATCCTTGCGACAGAGGGCTTTGGGAGTAAAAAAAATCTGCCTTTAAGTGTGATTTTTAATTTTAAAATTTAAAGGGGAATAAATGCCTTTTTTAATCATTCAGAAAAGACGATTTAACACCGTTATTTGTGAGAATATTCTTCTGGAAATGAATGGGGTTTCTCTTATGAGTAAGGACTGCGGGGTCAGGCCCATATTCTGAATTTGGGATATTGTTCATTGGAGGAGTTAGAAGAAAGTAATGAAGAAAAAACTCAAATACACTTATAACTGGTTTTGCTGCTGCCTCTCACCGGTGACAGTCTCAGTTATCAATGGAGCAAGAAGAAGATTTACAGAACATAGTAAGTAGCTGAGGAGTATAATGTTCCACCTACTCTGCTTGGCATGAATTCAAATGGCAAACAGTCAGCTGTGTTGGTTTTATTTTTGCCCACTAGGATTTGCAAATGCTGCAGCTTATTTGATAGCATCATTAAGTCATCAGTGCATTATCATGTCACTGTAGTAATTACTGTACATATATTTATAGAACTATAACACGTGACAATATCATCCAGAGTATAGCAATTCTTAATGTTTATGTAGCACTTGCCCTCTGAAGAACTCAAAGCCATTCAGAAATACAACTTTGCTGTCCTTTGCATTGCAACTATAAGCCAGGCAAGTAAAAATCCTCCTGGATGGATTATTATTTTATTATTTCTATTATAATAGCACTAACAACTGGTGTCCAAATGTCGATGCCGTTGCGTTCAGTGGAATACAAACACACACAGTATGTCTAAGCACAAAATAAAGACGGTTACCTGGACAGTAGCTGTGCCAGGTCTAGCTGATATGAGTAGCCATATCAGTGAAGACATAACAGGACATGGACTTTGAGCATTAGCACACACTAAATAGTACATATCTAGGCTCCCTGGAGGTAACATGTCGCAGCCAAAGCTACATTCTGCTGCGCAAACTAAGCCAGACCTGGGCAAAGTCCCTATCTGAAGGAGCTTGAAACATGAGATGCCAAAGCCGTGACCCTGTACTATACACTATACAGGTGCAGAAATTCACTCATGCAAAATTCAGTGCAGGTTGGGCCCCAAGATACTATTAAATACATGTGTCAAAAATCTGTTGGCAGAAGCCTGCCAGAAAGGAAGCTTGGTTTGGAGTCAGCCTATTATTAGCTCTTTTCAAATGCTTTTGAATGGCAACAATATTTTATTGTTCACAAATAAAGTCTGGGCTACACAAGCACTCAATAATGACTTTGAGATGAATTGCTGAAATGGATTAAGGCCTTGATTCTGGAAACACATTGGCATAGGCTCACCTGCTAGAAGCTGGGCTGTCCCATTGATTTCAGTGACTCAGTGGGAATATGCACTTGCTTAAAGTAGCACAGTGTCATAACAAAAACTTACAAGTGTGTAGCTGTGGAGGTCAATGGCCAGCTAACTATTAAAAAGGAACAGTGCAGTCCCTCTGAACTTTGGGAAATTTTTTATTAGGAATCAGATGAGGATTTCATTTCTAGGGTTAGCCTCAGTAACTGGCCCAAATCAGATGCCCATATCAAAAATTTCAAATTTGGGAGAAATTTAAATTTGCTTCCAAATGTGGACATGACCTCCATGCCCTTTACCTGTCTGGTATTTATACACATACAACGATTTTACGCAAGTGCTAGACACACAACGATTTTACACAAGTGTAAAAGAGATAAAGAGATAAAAGAGATGTCTGTGCATAATAGTTAGCAGATGTCTACCTCATGCCTCCTCTCACTCTCTGGTGAGATGCATGGTAAATCTCAGTGTAAACCCAAGAAAGTGGGTAAGGAGGTGTACTGCCCAATCCCTAATTGAATTAATAGATTCATAGATGTTTAATTCAGTGCAATAACACTGATTTGTATCAGTCAAGGGGGATGACCCATTGAAGAGGGGGAAAATCAAAGAACAGGAGGGGAAAGTTTGTCAGAAAAAGAAGGAAAAAACCCTCAGATCTCCTTTTACCTCATCTGTTATATAAAAGGAAAAAAAGAAAAGAAAGAGGATAATAGGACATTTCTAACATTTTCCCAAATCACCCACCCATGAAAACACACACAGTCTTTTTCCAAATCAAAAACATTAAGCAAAGAAGAGAGTTTCATTAAAGTTTTCTTAAATCATAGATAAATGACATTTTCTTACCTGATCCAGGCTAGGTTTGTGGGCTCTGAAATTTCCAACCAGCAGATAGGCTGTGGGTAATGTTAGGACTAGCACAGACAGCATGCAAAAAATCACAGTCCAACGCATTTTCCTGAAATCCTCCTTGATATGCATCCAGGCATCTTGATTGGCCCTTGCAGCTGCTTCCTCTAGGGTTAGTTCAGTTAAACGTTCCATGCCTCTGTGGCACGTAAATGTCTCTCTCTGTATGAAAGCGGGAAACAGGAAAATCTCTTCTGTCTTCTGACCTGCATGGAGACCCCCATTAAATAAGAGCTCACTTGAATGTGGGATGGCTCCCTCCCCCCCCCCACACACATACACACCCTCCCTCCCAAGGAATGCACCGCCTACAATAGAAACCTAGCTCAGGGAAAGGAGAGAGCACAACTTTTTTCTGAGCTTGTAGAGGTGCATGTTCAATGATTACATCTGTTTTTTCCTCACTTTACAGAAGGAAGTTAGGAAAGTCCCGGGGGTGGGGAGGGGGGTGGGGGGTGGAACCAGGATAAACTGAGCAGGAAGGCTGGAGCAGATTAAAAGCTTTTCCATACAGCAAAGGGAACATGAAACTACTGGAAAGGAAAGCGAGAGATGAGAGAGAGCGGCACAGAAACAGCACATAATTTTAACACATACTCAAACTCCACAGTCATAAAGTTTCATTGCAAGCTGGAGAGGAAAAACCTACCCCAGGGCAGTGGCAGGTAATTGTGCAAGGAGGGAGATTCTCCAAGGCCCCGAACAGAAATTACATATAAATCGGTATAAGTGATCAGAAGCCAGTTTAAGTCTGCAAGTGGCCCAGGACTACATTATGAGAAGTGTTGAGAAGTTTAAGCAAAAGCTAAGGGCAATCTGCATCCCTTTGGATGCTCTCCTAGCTCCAACTGCTCTCAAGTCCAGATCATTGGGGGCTGGACCCGATGATCTGCAAGGTCCCTTCCAGCCCCTCACAATCTACGAATCTATGAAAGAATGGATTTGGATTCTTGCTGCCTGTTCACTTTGTGAGTAACAAAAAATGGAAATAGTTTTAACTTTCTGAATATTTATTTTCAGTGTCCATTCACTGAAGCTTGTTGTCACTGCCTAAGAAAGAGAAACCACACTGTTCCTACTACACTCTGGAAACTTTATTGTCACCTGAGTTTACTGGTGGGTCATTACTCCTGGCTAAGGAGCGAGGGTTAGGGGACCCATATTCGCCCACTATGTTAGCAGCTAAACAGATGGCCTCAGCTGAAGCAGGATCAGGCCAATTGCTAACAGTCCCAACAATATTCATTGGAAATCATCTCTGGTGTGATTGACACTTCCTTTGGAATACAGAAAAGAGACTGCCCTGCATGCCGCCTTCCTTCACCAAAGTACACCACGTCCTAAGCTGCATGCCAAAGCATAGTAACTATTAACTGTCCTTTCTCTCTGCTTTGACATGACTTGTCAGGGAGGAGTCTAAACACTTTTATAAGGGAAGGGATCACCACGTACAGCTGCTCAGGACCATTTTGATTGGCCAGTATTCCATTACAGCAGCAGTATTGATTCCATTACATAGAAAAATGTAGTTTCCTCAAAACTAAACTTTGAATTTTACTTCCCTTTTTCCCCAAGGAAAAAAAAAAAGAGTAGGGGATGGTTTTTGTTTTAAAGTAAGAGAAGGTAGACATTTTTTAGATTTATAGCATTTCAGATTTTTGTTGAAATATTGTATATCAACATTTTTTCAAATTACAAAAATAAACATTTTCTGAAACGTTGTACTTGGAACCCACTTTTAAATGAAAAAAATACTAATTTAACCAGCTCTTGTAATTCATATTTCAGCAAATACTGCTTGTGGTCCATCCTGTTTTAAGTAGTCCAGTGCTGCTTTCTATATTTTAGATAACTAAAATTACTGAACTGTATAAAATGCACTATTTGGAGAACTGTACAAGGTCCAGGTGCTCCCTAAGTAATGAAGAATTAAGGCATAAGATGTTATAGGGGGAAAGTAAAAGAAGAACATACAATCAGAAAAAAGAGAGGCGGTTTTGTTTAGAGAAATTATATTAATTAGCTAATAAAGCACTGGCATTTGTATATTTTAATTTCAACCCAACCACTTCCTGTGTTTATCTTGTGAAAACCATTTACTTTCTTTTCTTTCCTCCCAGCCGTTGTCTTCCTTTTCCATATAGTTCCTAAGGTCTTTGCCATATACACTGTCTCCGACTATGTGTTTAGCACTTAGTGCCACAAGGACCTGATGTCAGCAGAAGGGGGAGAGCAGCATGAGACTTGGCTCTCTGGATGTTACTATAATATAAAGAAGAATGGGAGAAATACATGAAGTACAACATTTTAATAATGATAATAGTACATTACATTACTCTTCAATGAAGACGCTGGCTATAGATATGGACTTCTTATGGGTCATTATTGCAAAGATTAATCCCCTTGCCATGCGACAGGGCCAGCATTCCATTATAGTAGTAGTCACTGTTAGAGATCCTAGTACCTGCTCTTGGACACCTACAAGTGCTTTACAAATATTTATGGAACAAGCACCTGAACTGTGAAGTAGGTAAATATTTTAAGGAAGCAGAATATGAAGCAGAGATGCCTGGGATAGTTAAACCTTGAAATCCTCACGTGTGCGCCCTCTTGGCGTAGTTAGATTGATATCAAGGGAGTCATACCAACAAATACAAGATAAGGATCTGAACTTATTTCCTCCCCATGATGCATCTGTGGAAGAGAGAAAAGTCTGATCCTCTCTCCATCTCATGTGGGTGAGTAGGGAATACCCAAGGAGCTTGCACACTCATAAGGAGGGGAATTAAGTAAGTTGGTGATGTCCATGAAAATATGCTCTGGAGTTTAAAGCAAGTCAATGGTTGCCTGAGAGCTGTTACACTAATATGCCAACTGGTGTCCTCTAGAGGTAAGATCAAGAGCAGCTGCATTGGAACTAAAGAACCAGGCCTGTAAGAAAGACACACATATCATTTATAAACTGAGCAACGAAAAAAAATAGGACAGGGATTTAATTGGGTGAGTAGTCACTCATGGTTCTATGGGAAGGGAAATACAAAAAAGATAGAACTAAAGTTTTTGTCTGTGTCAGCAATAATACCGAAGATACGTCGGCCTGAAACAGTTTCATGATGAAAGTAGATTTACATTTTTATTTGTCTTGATGATTTTGCACTACTTGGCACTTTGCTTTGCCTAGAGGAAGGAAATTCAGTCAGTCCATTTCACTTTTGTTTCTGGTTAACTTCTGGTTTCCGTTTTCCACTTAGATAATGCAACACTCAGGTCCAAAATTCTGCAGAGGGATGCTGGGCTTAAACATATTTATATTTCCAAAGAAATATGACGTAAGTCACAGATCTGCAAGTTCAGAGGAGTTGCATTTAGAGTGGAGGCTAAAGAGGAGAGGAATAGGCAAAATCTCCAGGATCAGGTTGGCCTCCAGTGTTCTTTGTAACAAAGGAATTGCTCTATTGTTTTTCCATAATCAAAACTTCAGAGAAAGTTAATGGATGGCACTTTTCTCAGGAATACCTTGTGTCTAGCAATGAGGGCTTTGAGTGTAAAAAAGTTTGGGAACCACTGTACTAAACCATAACACCTTATGGTTGGAGAGTCAACACTACTCCAAAGAAGATTAATCTGTTGCACCCCAGAGGATGGGGGAAAAAAGACCATATATTGAAGACCATAACAAGTTAGAATGTATCTGAAACTACAGATTCCTACTTGAAATCTGTTTGTTTTGTTAATCATGTGCAGGAGTTTTCAACCTAATATGCCACAGCACCCTAATTGAGAATTTCTGGTGTAATACCTAGGAGGAGGTTTCTCTGGGCTTGCCTCATGCCTCCAGCTCCATGAGTGAAACCTGTATTAGTTTCATGACATCAGATCTAAAATCTGTTGGGGTTGCTATTCAGTCCTGTGTATGCAAAATCCTGTCTTGGACACACAGCTCATTAGGGCTATGTGAAGGTTTGGTCCCTGATTTGATTCAGCAGAGATTCGGTCCAATTCGGTGACTGAATCTCCAAATCCTTTAATCTCTCCAAATCGAATCAGAACCCTCCAAATCGATTTGGAGACATTTGGAGATTTGGACATAGACACAGCTTTAAATGTTTTCTCTACATACCTCTAGGTAGCAGGGGCTTGTAAATGCTGCGATGCTTTTACATGGAGTGTCCCACAGAAGCGAGGAGGGCTCCCCAGCATGCTCAGCAGCAGACCTGGAAGTGGACCAGAAGCACTTCTGGTCCACTTCTGGGTTTGCTGGGGAGTGCACAGGGGGACCCACCCCCCCACACCCTCCCAGCTCAGTGACTGGTGCATCCTGGGTCTGGAGGAGCACCCAGAGTCCCCCTGTAGCCAATCATCAAGCTGGCGGGGGGGTGGGAGGGAGTGCATTCCCCAGCAGACTTGGAAGTGGACCGGATTCCAGGTTCATTGCCGAGCATGTAGAGGGCCCTTCGCACTCCTGTGGGACCCCCCAATGCACTCCAGCATTGCAGTGATCATGAGCCGCGCTGGTACCTTGAGATATGTAGAAAAAATGTTTAAAGCTGTGTCTATGGCCAAATCTCCGATTCTCTGAATCAGCATTAAATCTTCAGATATGGATTCAGACAAATTGAATCAGGGACAGTGATCCAAATCAATGAATTGAATCACTGTCCCTGATTCAGGCCGAATCCGAATCTAAATCGAATAGGGCCTGCTTCACACACACCTACAGCTCATCCATCAGCTGGTAATTTTCGGTAGCCTCCTGGTCTCCCCAATCCTTCAGTCTGAACAACTTGTTAAGGAGTTTTGCTGGATTTCCTGAAGCCTCTCCTTTGGTCTATCTGCTGTCCTAAAGGGCCATTTGTATTGTACTCTGGAGGATATGCAATGATTAGTGTGTCTGCCACCAGTCATTCCTGGGCATTATCCTCACCTCAAGGCACTGTAGTCCTAAATAACATGCATTATAGTTGCTCAGTAATGGCTTTTTTTGCAATGTTTTCTTATTGCTTGTGACCAGGCTGCACACCTATCTTGTGCCCAAAGGTGAACAAATAGCACCATTTTGTTCCAATGGGCATAGGCATTAGGCAATAGCTTCTTTGCAACTTGAGCACATCTTTTGGTGTTTGTCAGGACTTTACAGGAAATGCTACATGCTATCGCATTGGATTCTTGCTGCTCCAAGGCCTCTTTTTGAGCTATACTACAGTTGTAACTACTCTGTAGCATTCTAGTTCTTTAGGACTTTTGTTTTTGGTTCTCTCTCTATTCCCATACTGGATCACCATGTGTTAACTGTCTCAAGTTTACGTGCTTCTGATACTTGTGCACAGACTCTGGTAAGGCAGTTGTGAGCAACA